CACACACACACACACACACACACACACACACACACACCAGGAATTACTGACAAAGGACTTAACAGTTATTTTATATTTACTGTTTTATGATAGGAATGACACAAGTGAATTCAGTAGCTATGTAAATCACATACAAAAAATTGAAATTATGCCAAAGTGAGAGAAGTAATTTTTATAGCAGTGTATAGATAGTGACACACTCGTTATAGGAATGCCAAATATCTGCCCTACATTGTAACCTAGCTGTAAATCACGGTTTCTCAGTCCTGTCTTCCAAGAACCCAAACAGAACATTGTCACAGTAATGTTTTAGGATTTCTCTGGACGTATATATACACAGTGTAATCCAAAAGTAATGGAGAATTATTAATTTCTTTAAAACTTATTTCAGGAAAAGCCACAATGCCAGAAATCTTCCTCATAATACTTCTCCCTTGCTTTATGTACTCACCCCCCAAGTCTTGTCACTTTCCGAAGGTCTTGTGGAAATCCTCTTTTGCGCGGTTCTTCATACGTGCCACGGTGAGCGGCACCGTGTCCCGATCCCAACGCTAATGTTCCTGGTCACTTTGGCTTCGAACAAGATGTAGAAGTCGCATAGGTCAGATCCAGCAGAAGTGGTGAACAGGGCCACACCATGTCTTTGATTTAATAGAAAGCGCCACAAACATTTTGAATCAATTCAGGTAAAGAGACAGCCATGAAAAGACACTCGTACTCGCAGAAGAGGACTTCCAGTATTATTCACTGGGAAAAATAATTCTGGCACCTGTAACTCGAAGGAGGAACCATTCATTTATTTTGCCGCAGGCATTCAGCCTGTTATTAGCTGGCTCCAGCGCAGGCACAGCTGAAGGTGGAAGAGCCTGGTGAAAGACAGCGGCTCAATCGGGGCATCCAGGAAGCAGAGAAAGAGAGAGGCAGGGAAAGTCTGGGGGTGAAAATACTCTCTCCTAGGCCACGGGCCTGGCCCCTGCCTCCTCTCGCAGGCCCCAACTGCCAACAGCGTGCTCAGCTCTGACCTTCTTGGGACCAAATGACTACAGCATCACTGCCATCCAGTCACATTCAGACACGTTAGATGCTTCGGGTTGTTGCAGATTCTAATCGTAACATTTCCAGAAGTGCCTTAGACGGCAGAGGGGGTGATAGGATAAATATGTTCAACAGGGGGTGGGGAGGGAGGAGTTGATAGGAATTGATGGCAATGTATGAAAAACCAGGGATTGAACTCAAGACTTTGCACTTGCCAGGCAGATCTTTATAATTTTTTTTAATTTATTAAAAAAGTATTCCCTGTATGTTTTGATGACACCTACTCTCTCACGAGAGAGACAGCGATGCAGATAGGGCAGCTAAGGGCAGCGTCCGCATAAAATGTTCACACTTCTCTCATTAATTTTAAAGATAATCTAATAAACATAACAAAACAATTGATGTTTTCCTACCTCAAAATAAGTAAATAAATAAAATCCTAAAAGAGAGAATTGGTGCTCGCGTAAAGTCAAGTTGATCTGCTCAGCTTATAGCCAAGCAAGAGCATTTTCTAATGACCTTATCACATCATCCACTTTTGGAGCTCCCAGATGGAACCTGTTTGATCTTGTTTTTCAACTGACATGCAAGGAAAGCACAAGAATACCTGCTAATGACAGCATCTAAATAAGGGAACTTCTTAAGATGCTATCTAGGGAACAAATTGAGAAATCTAACTTTTGTCTCAGTAAGAATTGTCATGAAGTAAAAAAGGCCAAAAAGAAAGACAATGTGAGAAGGGTACAGTCAAGATGCCAAGGAGTTGAGAGT